TTTATTTTTTGCATTTAAAAAATTTGCCTAGAATATACACGTATATGCTATTATATAGTGATTTGCTTCATTTCTTGATGCAGAATAATTCGATTTCCAATCAAAGAAACGCATGTTAAACTGCGGAAATTAATTCTAATCAAAGAGCGAATATTAATTCGTAATATAACTGGGGATAAATTGATAATTTTCCAACTTTGAAAAATATATTTCGTAATTCAATAATAAACTAAAAGAAATTTATTAAAGATATGAAAAAAATTATAAGGAGATTTATAAAAATTATGTGGATGGGGACCACGGAAAGAGGTAATAAAAGATAACGGTAGGATACTTTAGAGCTTCTTTTATTCGCTCTGTGCTTAACGATGTCATATCCTGTTAAATTTGCGTGGTTCCTCACACTTTAATACACATCAGAAATCAGGCACGACGGCGACGGCGGATAGACACGATCGCTTTTGTCCACGAAGAGTTTTCTCCGTTGATATCAGGGAACTATTGGACCGAGCCAGATTAATAGTCCGCTATCCAATACAGAAGGTTCGAAAGATCGGCGGCTGGACGGGAAAAGGGGATGAACCGATTCGACTCACGTAATGCTCGTTACACGTCGGACGATATTAACGAGCGCCAAGGAGGGCGGAACTTTCGTGCCATCGAAAACGTGAATCGGAAGCGGACGCACCATCTCGAGAATCAAGACGATCCTTCGCAACGTCGCGGGGACGTTAGACCTTACATAATTTACAAATACGATGTGATGCTTTACGATCTTATCGGCTGATTTTTCGATGAAAATCTGCGCTATACGCCGCAGAAAATTCACATCTTGGCACTGTACGAAATATATTGGAACTGCGCGTATCTTTTCGTTCCTGCGTATTTTTTTTGTTTTTAATATTATCTTTAATTAATCTTCAAATTAAAACTTTACCAAAGTTGAAATTGATCGTGAAATAATGTCTTTATTTGTTTATACTGTTCTTCGATTTATACTATTCTTATTATGAATAGAGAATTGTTTTTGCATCCTTTAGGGACGGCATGGTCGTGTCATTAAAAAATTTTTTTTATTAATTTTGCTAAAAAATATATTTTGAAAAATCTATCCATATATAATCTTTCTTAACAGATAGAAGTATATTTCAATGTTCAATGTTACATTTCCATCGTCGGTATTTTTAAACTCTTAATTAATCTGTATTGATCCTGAATATATTTTAAATTTATCTTGATTAATTTTAAAAAAAAAGTTGCAAATATTCAATACTTATCCGTAGAGATTTAAAGAATTCTTAGATGAAAACTAGCTTGCTAGATCAACCGTTTTAATTTTACGTATTGACAATTAAATCTTAAATTATATTTCCATGCCGTGAGATACAGCACGTTTATAATAGTCAACGGACTTCTGTTATATCTTGTTACATTTCGTAATTCTTCGTTATACTTTTTTTTGTCATTAGTAGTTTCCCTGCTGCTGTGGAATTTAAAAGAAAAGTACACGCGTATTTCCAGAACAGTTCTCGTCGGTTCTCGTTTTTCTTTGCTTTGCGCATTTCCGCATTCCCATTACGATGGTCCTTTTTATCATGGCGCATAATACCACGATCGCGTATAACACCACTCTTCATAACTAAGCCCATCTACAACACGATGGGTAGTCGAGCTTTATTTTTATTATAGCTTTGAGTGTGACGTTTTATTATTGCGCGACTTTGTTCATACATATACATGCGGTATCGCTGAGCACGCGTTGCGAGCGCAACCTTTCGCGACCCAGAATAAATTGAAATATTTTACACAAATCTCTCACATATATGTGGTTACATGTGGTTCTAGTCCGATCTGACGCTTCTCCTTTCGCGATGTCCACGTTTTCTCACCCCGTATCGTAAGCGGTTTCACTTTAGTCCTTTCTCGGGGAGCGAGATACGATTCCTTCATGGTCGAACGAGCAATTCCCTGTAAACTCAGTTACCTCCGACAATTCAATACGCTACGTTAACGTACGTGGCGTATTACGGTTGAGCTTCTCCTATCGGTGTAAATGTCGTCAAACGATTTTTCAATTACCAGATACCGTCTGATAATCGTACGATGCTCATTGAAAAGTCTTTCTGACTTTTCAGTCAGAGAGAGATTTAATACTAGTCAAATGAGAACAATGTACGTTCATGATTATAGATTAAAAATATAGGTAAATCAAAAAATAGCTTTAAAAATTTGGAGTACTATTAATATTGAAATATTATTTATAATATTTATTGTTGTTGAAACCATAGATATGTGAAAAGTATTAATGATAAAATCTCTCTTTTTGCAGTTTATTTAAAAATTAATAACAAATTTTTTTAACATAAAAGATGGCTCAGACTTCATTCAACAATACTTCTCGCGTCATTCGAATCAAAGGGAAGAAAATTCTAGTTTTCATAATTTGGAAAATTTTGTAATACTTAAAATATTAAAAAGGGTACACTCGACGTACTCAACCACAAAGCGTACTATGTCAAAGCGAGTATGTAGTCGTAAAGGTAATTGCGTTTTACAGCTTGTCCTGTTGCGCGCAACACAAAAGGATCTCGACTATAGATATTAAAATGTAAGACAAGAAAACGGAGAGAGAGAGAGAGAGAGAGAGAGAGAGAGAGAGAGAGAAAGAGAGAGAGGAAATTTATGTAGTTATCCATCTTATTTTTTATCTTGCTTCATATAAAGTGTTGACACTAAACATGGGCGAACTTGATGGAAAGAAAAATTGCAATATTATAAGATCAAGAAAATTACACTAAAACTGGATCTTTCATGCTTAAAAAGAATTGCTTATAAATGCAAATATATAAATGATATTTTTCAAAAAATTCTGTACATTTTTTTTAATGCTTTTTCTATATTAAAGTGAAGATTAAGCGAATATCAAAGATTTTGATTCATACATATTTACGAAATATTCCACTTCTAAAATTTCTTTGTTATCTTTCAGATTCATGAATTATGTGAGAAATCTTTTTCCATATATTATATACAAGCAAAGCGGTTTTTATATGTAAGATGTGTGTGTGTGTGTGTGTGTGTGTGTGTGTGTGTGTGTGTGTGTCTGTATGTGTGTGTGGATATCGATTATATAAATTGCTGCATACAAAATCGCATTATGTGATAATGTCTTAAACATTACTGTTTTATATTGTCGGTAAAGATTGAAGGGATTGAAGCTGAACGATGGATATAGCTCCTGTCAAACATAGTTAGTCAAAAAAGAAATCGATAGATATGAATTTTGCAGCAACTCGATTTTCCCGTTTCATGGACATGTAATCACATCAGCCGATCACCGATATCGTGTCCATTAAAACCCGTCCTTTTTCAATGAACGTATCGCGACCTATATCCATCGCGTCACGACAGCACGGGATGCATCGCCTTCATGCAATCTCTTTTCGCAGAGATCTCTGAATTCAGCCTCATCTACTCCGTAATATAAAGAGTAGATTGGCGCCGCTAAATCTTTGTGGAAAGCCGTAAAACTTGAACGCTCCCGCGTACGTTGTTGAGCACAATGGCGGTCTATGATATACGATGCACATTCCCTTGCACACGTATATACGAAACCACACTGAGTCCTGATAGTAGGTATACCTAGGTCCATTTTTTGTCAAGTCTATATAAAACAGGACAAAGGATTGATAAACATATGATGGAACTTTTGGTAGTTTTTGTTTAAATTATCTCCTACATGATTGTGCATGACTTCGATTGTAATAGAAAGAGAAAGAGAGAGAGAGAGAGAGAGAGAGAGAGAGAGAGAGAGAGAGAAAGGGAATTAATAATTCTTTTTAATATTATCTCAAAAAGAAAATATAAAATCTCAATTTATATAAAAAAATTATTATTATATTGTATTATATCAAATATATTATATATTTTTATAAAAATATTTTATAAATTCTCTTTCTTTCTTTGAAAAATATATATGTAGAAATAATAAAAGCATCTCCTATTTCTGACAATTTTAGAATTAATACAAAAAATTTTTCAACAATATAATAATTTTATATGTCATTGTACGTCGTCAAAGTTTACGAAGACGTAGACTCCGATTCTTAATCTCAGATTCTTTGTGGATTGTACGGCAAACAATATTTTTCTTTGACGAACAAATGTTTTTATTGCTGGCGACAAAGCAGCTAGTAAAGCTTGCGCGTTAAACTCCTTCTTGGGAAGACCATTTTCGTTTATCGAGCGACGAGACAAATATTTTTGAAACGAAGTTTGCTCATCGTTCGCGGTTTCGTTTGCGAGAGAACCGATAGTTTTCCCGCCGCTCCGATTTCTATAACTTGCGTTAGAGCAAATTTTTCGTTTCCTTCTTTCACTACGTATGCTCGAGCGAATCGAAGATTTTTCCATGAAATTGGTATCGTAGATCAGGTCGAAAGCTCCACTTTGTTTGACCCGGAGGCTCTCCAACCTGTTACCCGGCATCCCGGATATATCGACGTTTAAGACATATCTGCAGAAGGTCGCCTTCGAAAAATTTATCGGGTACTCGCGATAGATTTCGAGATTTGTCTCAAAATTCATCGTCCATGACGTATAGCCGCGATGTGGCGGTCTTCAATTCGATTTATTTGCCTGCGTCTGCCAGCGAATTCGAGTTTTATTGAATGATTTATCGAAACAGACGTGAACGTAAATCTAGGTTTAAACTAATCCATTGCTGTTAAAATATTTCACATTTTGGGGATTACATATATTCTTTATCTACAACTATGCGTTTGCTTTCATGCACAATTGTCACATTTGCCGATATCTTTCAATTCCGTTTTTACATATATAAAAATTAATATACAAAGACATACAATTTAACAGTTATTTTATAAGTGAAGTGCTCTTTAAAAAAAAATATGTATGGTATTCGATAAAATATTCAATAGAAATTGAGAAACAATAACGCTGAATTACAATGGGAGGACATGAGAGGGCATCTTACTCACGTCAACTTTAACACCATTGACGTCATAGACGTGGGGATTTTTATCTCGGAGTACGTATTTGTAGAATACCTCGTGGTCCTTGTACCATGTAATACCATAGAGATGGTCTCTCTCCCGATCATATCTGAAACAGGAGATCGAGCGAGACATATTATTAAATGTATTTCGCAACTGTTTGCTGAATTAATAAAGACACCTGAGACACCGGTCCTATGCGGACAATTC